TTGTCAACGTTGACTGGTCATTCAAAGAAGGTCTTTACTTTGCCGCAGTTTTCTAATCTAGACTTTATATAACAAGTTCATTTCTTCTTTAGTTTTGTGCTTGACATGTATTGTTTCCTTTGCAGGTTACAAGTATTAAGTTTGTAGGTGACACCGATCTTGTTTTGACTGCTTCGTCAGACAAGGTAAGCCAAAAATATTATATGCAGGCTTGAAGTCCGATGGTTGTTTAATTTTTCTGTGTGTAGTGTAGTGCTTGTGAAGCATCTGTGCTGGAATATCTATCGTCCTTTGTTGAGCAGTGCATGATTTTTACTAGTGTAGAGAAAATGAACTTGTTATATAAAGTTTAGAATCTTTTTAGTTGCGTCTAGAATCTTTTTAGTTGCTGCTCACGCAGCTACTGTGAAATCTAGTTCTTGTAAAAGTCATCATGTCATCTTTGAAAACTGATGAGACTATCTAAAGTGATCCTTGTGTTACATGTCCCCATAAAAAGTTGACTTAACCTTATAACTCGTGATGCTATCTTTGTTTAATGCCTAGTTTGATGCATTTCATACATAACTTTGTTTTTCGTACCAGTGATTGTTTGTGGTCTCTCTATTCGTCTGAGTTTTGGTGTTTTGACACTCTGCAGACAGTTCGTATCTGGGGGAGTTCCGAGGATGGTAACTATGCATGTAGACATATATTGAAAAATCACTCTGCAGAGGTAAGAATGAAACTGAAGAACTTAGGCTACAGTCTCATGCAGTTTTACCTGTAGTACTGCATTTGTCCTGTTATAACGTAAAACAATGATGTGTGTGTTTCAGGTGCGAGCTGTCACTGTCCATGCAACGAATAAATACTTTGTGTCGGCATCGCTTGACAGTACGTGGTGCTTCTACGATATGTCCTCCGGTTTATGCCTTGCCCAGGTTCGCAAACTTCTTATCCACAAGCAACTGATACCTGTTTTTCAAGTTTCAGCTTTTCTCTTCGTACAATATTTATAGAAAGCATGAGAAACATAATTTGCACTCGTCGAAGTGTCTTTCTCATAGTTGTTATTATTTCAGGTAACAGATGGTTCCGAAAAGGTGGATTACACGGCTGCTGCTTTCCATCCCGATGGTCTCATTCTTGGAACTGGTACTGCTCAATCCATTGTCAAAATTTGGGATGTAAAGAGTCAGGTAACATCCCCTGATCTTCCTTATTCATCAACTCTTGAGATCATCAAACGTTTTAGTATTCTCCATTAATTCCCACCTTATTTTAATCTTTCTCTATTTGGTAATAGGCAAACGTGGCGAAGTTCGGTGGACACACTGGAGAAATCACATCTGTATCATTCTCTGAAAACGGCTATTTCCTCGCGGTGGGTACTTTGACCCAACTAAAGAGAAAGACGAATATTACAGGCGACCACTTTTACTGACTTAATTTGTCTTTCTTCCTTATTCAGACTGCTGCGCAGGATGGTGTTAGACTGTGGGACCTACGCAAGCTAAAGAACTTCCGAACATTTGAATTTCCAGATGCAAACTCAGGTATTCAACTATCTGAGAACCTCTCACTAGTCCATTTTGTTGATTGTGGTATTCATAATTCTAAGACAATGGGTGAAATTCATTTGCAGTGGAGTTTGACCATAGCGGATCTTATCTTGGCATTGCTGCTTCAGATATAAGGTGAGGTTTACATTTATACACACAATGCATTCGATAACTAAGAAATTCTAGAACCTGTGATGGTGACTTTATTGCACCCAACTGAACTCTTATTGGCATTTAATATATGTGTGTTTCAAAAAAAAAAAAAAAACTAAGAAATTCTAGAACATGCCGTGTATGTGTATGTTGCTTAATAATAACATTTGTGCGTTTCAACATTTCAGAGTATTCCAAACGGCCAGTGTAAAAGCAGAGTGGAACCCAGTCAAGACACTTCCTGATCTGTCCGGTACAGGTATGTGATATGAGCAAGCTTTTGAAGTCCTTTTTTTTCTTGAAGTCTATACATTGTAAAAATCCATTAACTTGCAGGTAAAGCAACATGCGTTAAGTTTGGTCCTGACGCCAAATACGTAGCAGTCGGTTCGATGGACCGTAATCTCAGGATATTCGGTTTACCTAGCAATGACAGCACTGAAGATTCTGCACAAGATTCATGAATAGAAGATGCCTCTCAGGTCTCACCGTCAAGAGTAGTCCGTGCCTACCTTTTTTTTTTTTTGAATGAATGTAAAATTATATTCAATCAAAACCATGTTTACATCGAGTGCCACATTTTTGCAAAGCATCAAGAAATTAGAAACCTATTACATCAAAAGAAGCTTAAAACCATAAAAGAACAAAAATTTCATCACAACTCTCCCCCTCAAACTTAACCATATGGAACAAGTCAAGCATGGGGGGCTATATAACTTTCCTCATTAAAACCTAATCAAATAAAACCCAAATGGGACAAAAATCTGATTAGGAAAAAGAGTAAAAGTTACATAACCAGGGGAGAGTATGGACTACTCACAGAGAACCGCAATACAGGCAGAAACCTCTCCAAACAGACCAAAGCTCCCTTCAGATTCTAGTTGAAAACCAAATCAGTAAGCTATCCTCCAAGTACTTCTTACCCTTCCCCTTAACCATAAGAAGTTTCAGCCGCACAGTTTTATCAACCAACTTGGACAGAGTACTTTCATCCAAAGGCTGCTCTCCATGCTTCCTAGCATTTCGTTCTCTCCAAATACTATGAGCTAAGGATTGAAACACATACCGAATGATAAAAGTCTCTGTGGGACATCTTCTGGCATGAGAAATAATATCAATAATCTCTTCCCAATTTGTAGTAAACTCATCTTTGAGAATGCCATGAACCAAATCCCTCCAAATTTTACTTGAGTATCTACAACTGAAGAACAAATGACCACAAGTCTCATCCTCCATTTTGCAAAGAACACAAACACCATCAACGTTTGACGCATTATTCCATTGCTTAACTCTATCCATGGTCTGCAACCTGTTTCTAATCGCAGTCCAAGCAAGGAAAGAATATTTGGGAGTAGAGTGGGGGAACCATATACCTTTACTCCATCGACAATCAGGGTGAGGATGTCTGATGTTAATCCAAGTTTTCTTGGTAGAAAAATTGGCCAAGTAGGTATTATCATTAGAACGCCATAGAGAGACATCATCATCACAACTAGCCCTCCTCTTAACCTTATCAATCTCGTTTTCAACATCATTAAGAAAAGAGATTCGATGTTTCCTTCGCCTATGGTGATTCAAAACATCATATACCGTGTCAGTTTCTCTGATACCCATATCAATGTTTCTCCCACTCCTCAAGTAAGTGATCAAGCAGCCCAAATCCGACCAGTTATCATACCAAAAGGATACACGCTTACCGTTATTGACCTCAACTTTGTGGAAACCCCGAGCCAAATCCCTCAAACGCAACAGCTTTTTCCAGATCCAGGACCCAATTACAGTGCTATTACGAATGGACCAGAATGAACCCTTTCGTATCAAGTAACAATGAACCCATTTAACCCACAGAGAATCATGATTAGACAGCAATCTCCAAATGAGTTTTAGACATAAAACTCTATTAACCTCCTTAAGAGGACGAAGGCCTAAACCGCCTTCCTTTTTCGGCAAACAAATGTCATTCCAACTAACTTTAGCTTTACTAGTCTTCAAATCCGGACCAGACCACAAAAACGCAGAACAAAGACTCTCAATATCTTTAAGGCAGCTGCTAGGAAGACTGAAGGCAGAGAGCCAGAAGTTTGCTAAACTGGTAATGACTGAGCTAATAAGCTGAAGTCTACCACCATAAGATAGGAACCTTCCCGTCCAAGACTTCATCCTCTTTCTGATTTTCTCAACAAGAGGCAAATAATCTAAAGCAGTCATTTTCTTAGTGAGGAGAGGTAGGCCTAGATATCTCACCGGTAGCTTACCCGACTCAAAAGGAAAGCTAGTGATTATATCATGTTCTTGATTAGCAGAAATTCCAGCCGTGTATAAGGTGGACTTTTCAAGACTGATTTTAAGACCTGAGATCTCTTCAAACTCCTTAAAAATTTCCAAAACACCTTCAATGGATCTCTTAGAGCCATCTGTGAAGACAAGTAAATCATCCGCGAAGCACAAATGAGTAAGGAGGATGTTTCTACATCTTGGATGATAACCAATTCTACTACCAGCAGCAGCTTTATCCAACATATTAGAGAGAACATTAATGCATATGACAAATAAGTATGGGGATAACGCACACCCTTGTCTCAACCCCCTTTTGCTCTGAAAAAAACCCGCTAACTCTCCATTAACTTGGACAGAAAACGAAGGAGAACAAACACATAGCTTAATCCAATGAACAAACCTGTCTGGGATATCAAACGCTCTCAACGTGTTAAGAAGGAAATCCCAATTCACCGAATCAAAGGCTTTTGCAAGATCAATTTTCATGGCACACCTAGGCGAAATATCATCCTTGTGATAGTCTTTAACAATCTCAGTAGCCAACAGAAGATTTTCAACTAACAGTCTATCTTTAACATGCCTACCTTTTTTTTCCTTCTGAAGGATACTTGTATTGATTTCAGTTGAGATGCAACATAGAAGAAATTGACAATTACAAACTCAGGAGAAACTAATAGTGAAACCCGTACAAAGTCGTTGGATAAAGGGGATTTGATGAAACAGATTAGTGACCATAGCAGCCTTGATTTATTAGCATTTTCGTTAACTGTGTTCATTGTAATTACAACATAACAAACGAATTATAAGAATGGATTCAATATTAATTATGAATGTATCTAATATGATCCATCTTTTGATCAGAAATAAAGAAGATAATTTGGTTCCTTTTAATAAAAAGGGAAAGTAGGTAATAAATGTTTGGATTCATGACTCTCCATAAATTACCTAAAAAGGAAAGATATCTCACAATTAAAGGGTCCAACCAAAGATTTAAGACAAAAATCAAAAAATAGTTGATCAAAAAAAAAAAAAAAGACAAAGATCAAAAACGAAAGTCAAACAGCTGTTTAGTCTGTAGAAGAAGAATTCATTGATCTTCATAAATTCCAAAAATTTGTGAAAACAATGATATAGAAGAGACCACAATTAGTTTTTGGAATTAAGCAAAAACAAAAAAATGAATCATATTAATCAGCAATGGCTAAAGAGGTTTCCCTTCAAGAACGCAACGATAGCTCTGACGATGGTCAACGTGCTAATCTTCCTCTTCCTCCTTCGCGGCTTTTTCACGTCATCATCATCGTCCTCTTCTTCATCAACCCGAATCATTTCAGGTCTGTGTAGTTTTCTTCTGAGTATAGCCTGATTGTTGCGAAGTTTCACAGGATTTCAAATCATTTGTTGACAAGTTTTGGAGAATACTCTAGATTCTCCCTGTTGACTTTAATATAAGAACACTTGGAAGTTGCTGTGCTCATTGTGTTCTCTTTGGCTTACCTTGTTTCTTTCCTTCACCATATCCATACCCTTTGATAAATGCAGCTCGGCTTCGGTATATCAAGGAAGCCCGAGAGATTAGGCTCGCCATGCAACCTTTAGAGCTCATTAAAAGAGTAAGCTTACAACATAGCATTTTTCTGAAAGCCAACCTATGCCATCATTACTAGCAAAGTGAAGAAATTCTGACCAATGTTCTTTGAATGATAGGTCAAAGAAATTCAACAGGAGCCATTCATAAGAGATGAAACAGAGCAGCAGAAAGATGTGAAGCTTAACACACCCGATGATCTGTCTAAACGGGTTAAAGCTTTCTTCCCCACTAACGAGGCATTAAGTTTGAAAGGTAAAACTGACAACAATAAGCTTTGTTGTGTTATGCTATGTGATTTAGATCGGAAATAGGTTTTGATCTGTCACAAAAATGTTCTCTAAACCACACAGCGTTGGAAGAATGGCGAAAGCGGAAAATGGAACGAGCAAGACAACGGAAAGTTGAGAAAACTGGAGGTGCATTTAGCAGCAAGTATGGTCGTGGATATAAAGACCATGACTATGCTACAGTTTACAGTCATGGTCATGTACCAGACACTCATGCAGGCGAACACAAGGCTGGTGGTGGAACCACCATGGCCGTTTAGAGTCGTCTTATGTTTATGTAATGTTATATAACTTTGATAATGAGTTTAGACGAACCTTCCGTGTTCTTTTGTTAATTTTATGGATTTCTCTAAGAGCAAGATTATTGGGAGGTCCTAGCTTTTAGATCCTTAAAAACATATATGTATGTATGTATATATTATATATTCGTATATAGTTGCAGGTTAAGGATTTTATGGATTTTACGAAAAACGAAACCAAAAGTGTTTTAAATAAGAGATTTTTCGTTTTCCATAAAATCCTTAAACTACAATTATATACGTATATATAATATATATATGTTTTTTAAGGACCGAGAACAATGATCTCCCAATAATTTTGCTCTAATGTTTTTGTTTTTTTTTAACAATCTAATGTTTATGTAATGTTATAATGATTTCTCTAGTGTTTTTTTTTTGACAATCTAATGTTTATGTAATGTTATAATGATTTCTCTAATGTTTTTCTTTTTTAACAATCTAACTAGATTTTAACCCGCGCAACCGTGCGGGTGTTTATTTTCGTTTGTAATTAGTTATAAACATTTTGTTTTCATTCGTAAATTGATATATATTATAGTAATCACATATTTACGATATGTATAGTAAATATTTTTCAAACATAATAATATTATATAATACGTGTTTTAATCAAATAAATTGTTTCAAATTTTCTATATTATACATGTTTTTCAAACATGTGTTTGTTTCTTCTTCTATATTTTATTGTTTGTTAGATTAGTAATTCATTTTTAGATAAATTAATATAAATAGAGCTTGATTAAATATATTTTTGAATCACAAATCTGCTGTATCTCAATTTTTAAATGTTAGGGTATATAAATATTCTATATTATGAATCTGTGATTTTTGTTAATATATTGTGGATGCATTTAACTATTATTGACATATTTCCTTATAAATAATAGAAGATTCCTAAACTTATATCTATTGACATATTTTGTGTGGCTAAGTTGGAAGGTGTGGGATAATTTACCAAAACTAAATTGTTATGCATATCTTTGTTATTATAAATATGATTTTTCATAAGATATAATAATGATAAGATTATTAGAGAGTTAATGTAACATGACTTTTTAGTAATAGTCCATTTTTAAAAAGTCACATATGAAGTTGATTTATGTTTTAATATATAAGATGTTTAGAGTCGTCTTATGTTTATGAGTTATATTTTTGTTAATTTATGGATTTTCTACATAAAGCCCATTAGGATGACAATTGGCCCATTAACGACAGAGATGCCACGCGAACGACGTTGCTTCTTTCCCTCCTCTTTGATCCGTGGAAATCGAGATTATTATAAACCAGACCGGTTTAATGTAATGGAGAGGGGTAATATAGGCAGGTGAATATAGGAATCAGAAAGTTTCATGATACTCCGTTCACTTTCCAACGTCCATGGGGGGAAAGAAGAGAATAGAAAAACTAATCACATTTTGATTCTCTACCATGAGAGAAAAACGCCAGAAAATTCTGAAGCTAGGAAACTAAAATGTTCGTTACGTTGGATAATTTCCCCCAGAGAATGCCTGTGATTTGATTTTTTCAAATTTTGGTTTCGTTGATGTTTATCTCCGTTGTAATTGTGGAGCATAGAAAAATCTAACCAGATTCCATCATCATAATGGTATGAGCTTTGTCCCCTTTTGCATTCTGCAGCTTCTTCAAATCATATATTCCTTTTGGTTTCACACTCTCTGTATGAAATTATGTCTGAGTTTCTAAATTTGTAACAATATATGGCCACATCTGCTTCTTGATTTAGAGGCTTCCCTTTTTTTTTTATTTGATTTGATCGTGAATGAGCATTTACCAAAACGATGGAGAAGAGAAAACAAAGCTCTAAATAAACAGGAAAATAGAAGAAAATAATCTTATAGTATTCATCTCTTGGCTGTTTTGATGATATGATTGTATGTGCAGGCTGCTTCAGCCAAAGTAAGTGTAGGGTCTCATGTCTGGGTGGAGGATCCTGAAGAAGCCTGGATAGATGGAGAAGTAGAAGAAGCTAACAGTGACGAAATCACTGTTAACTGCTCTGGAAAGACGGTAAATAACTTATTAGATAAAACAAAAACACATTTGTATTTATCTAATGCATCTGTGTTCTTAGGTTGTGGCAAAGGTAAATGCTGTCTACCCCAAGGACCCCGAGTTCCCTGAACTTGGTGTCGACGACATGACAAAGCTTGCCTATTTGCATGAACCAGGACTTCTTCTCAATCTTAAGTGCAGATATGATGCAAATGAAATCTATGTAAGCTTCAGCTACGTACACTTCGTTTACTATTTTTTCAACACTTTAGCTAAATTTATTTCATGATGAATACAGACGTATACAGGAAATATATTGATAGCTGTGAATCCCTTTAAAAGATTACCACACCTTTATGGAACTGATACGATGAAACAGTACAAAGGTACCCCTTTTGGTGAGTTGAGTCCACATCCTTTCGCGGTTGCAGATTCTGCCTACAGGTTTCAACTTCTTTTTCTTTTTTGGTGTTAATTTTGCTGCACTATTACTTGGTTTTCAGCCTTACAATCATCGCCAAAATATAAATTTTTAGGAAAATGATCAATGAGGGAGTGAGCCAAGCCATCTTGGTGAGTGGTGAAAGCGGTGCTGGGAAGACGGAGAGCACAAAGATGCTCATGAGGTTTCTCGCATACATGGGAGGAAGAGCTGAGAGTGAAGGACGATCCGTTGAGCAGCAAGTTTTAGAGGTAAGTAATTTTCTAAAACATAAGACTTTTAGTGAGTTACCTCCTCTGATTTTACTTTCATGCTTTTTGGCAGTCTAATCCAGTTTTAGAAGCTTTTGGCAATGCAAAAACCGTTCGAAACAATAACTCAAGGTGGAGTGGATGAGTCTCACGTTTGTTAATTTCCTTGAACCCAAATTTAAGTCATAGGTTCCTTTGTTGCAGTCGTTTTGGTAAATTTGTGGAGATTCAGTTTGATCAAAGAGGAAGAATCTCGGGAGCTGCCATCAGGACATATTTGTTAGAGAGGTCGCGTGTTTGTCAAGTTTCTGACCCTGAAAGAAACTATCATTGCTTTTACATGCTTTGTGCTGCACCTGAACAGGTAAGCCTCCTGATCTCTTTTATGACCCCTGAAATCTTGGAGACATTCTCATGATCCCGTTTCAGGAAACTGAGAGGTACAAGTTAGACAAACCAAGTACATTTCGCTATCTAAACCAGTCTAATTGCTATGCATTGGATGGGCTTGATGATTCCAAGGAATACCTAGCTACAAAGAAAGCTATGGAAGTTGTTGGAATCGATTCTGAAGATCAGGTACTTTCTTTTTATAGTTGTTCATAAGGAAAAACATTAGTCAAATGCTACTTCTTCAGGATGCAATCTTCCGAGTAGTAGCTGCAATCCTTCATCTAGGGAACATTGAGTTTGTAAAGGGTGAAGAATCAGAAGCTTCAGAACCTAAGGACGAAAAATCAAAGTTCCATCTAAAAACAGCAGCCGAACTTTTCATGTAAATGCTTCTCACAAACAGTTATCTGGTTAGCCATAATTAGAGCCTTAACTTGCTTTTTTTGTGTCAGGTGTGATGAGAAAGCTTTAGAAGATTCCTTGTGCAAAAGGGTAATGGTGACTCGTGATGAAAGCATTACAAAGTCGCTTGATCCTGATAGTGCAGCTCTAGGGAGAGATGCATTAGCCAAAATTGTCTATTCTAAATTGTTTGATTGGTAGGTTAACCACAACTAAATCTTTTTAAGGTATATTCTTGGGGTTTCTATGCAAAAGGTTTAAATTATCTTGTTTACAGGCTCGTGACCAAGATCAATAATTCCATTGGCCAAGACCCAAATTCAAAACACATTATTGGAGTTCTGGATATTTATGGATTCGAGAGTTTCAAGACAAACAGGTGCTTAACCGGTATGCTTTTGTTTTCTGCTGATATTGTTAGTCTCTGAAACGGATAACTGAATTTTTATACTGCTTCGTACTTCTACACTCTCTGATTAAGCTTCTTTAAAGATTTAACTGATGGTCTGTTACCGAGTTTCTCATATATAAGTTGCTTCGCTAAAAGCTTTCTTGTGATGTATAACAATGTAATTATTTTGGTTTTTGGCTGTTCCTTGCAGTTCTATGGTTAATATTATTTAATTATTATTATTAATAATCTCTTCTCATTTTCACGGTTAATTTGCAGTTTTGAACAATTCTGTATAAATTTGACAAACGAGAAGCTACAGCAACATTTCAACCAGGTTGGGCAATGTCAATAGATTGTTTTTTTGTTTCTTTGGCTGACCCATATTCATGCATTACTTCCTCTTCTCTGACAGCACGTGTTCAAGATGGAGCAAGAAGAATATACTAAAGAAGAGATTGACTGGAGTTACATAGAGTTCATTGACAATCAGGATATCCTCGATCTTATTGAAAAGGTTAGCAGTCACATACTGTTAGCTTACCACTAGGTTTGAGTATCTGATATATATCTATATTTTTATTTCATCACAGAAACCTGGTGGTATCATTGCTCTTCTAGATGAGGCTTGGTAATGTTAAAATTCATGTTTGTCATTGCTTTCTTTTTATTTATTTACAAAAGAAAATCTGATTGGTACTTTGTTTGCTTCTGCAGCATGTTTCCAAGATCTACACATGATACTTTTGCACAAAAGCTATACCAGACTTTTAAAGACCACAAGCGTTTTGCCAAGCCAAAATTGGCTCAAACAGATTTTACAATTTCTCACTATGCTGGTGATGTTAGTGTTCTTCATAACTAGGCCTCTTGCTTAATTTCTTGTCTTAATCGAAGGGAAAAATTACTGTAGTTCAATGACTATACTTGTGTTTAATTCCAGGTCACTTATCAGACAGAACTGTTTTTGGACAAAAACAAAGATTATGTTGTTGGAGAACATCAAGCTCTCCTGAGCTCTTCAGAATGTTCCTTTGTCTCGTCATTATTTCCACCAATGTCAGAAGAATCATCCAAAACATCAAAGTTCTCATCAATAGGCTCTCAGTTTAAGGTCTGAAGTAATGTCTAGTCACTATTGGTTCTGCTCATAATATCTCTATGTGTTTCTCACCATGTACTAAAATACAGCATCAACTGCAATCTTTACTCGAGAGTTTGAGCACAACAGAGCCACACTACATACGATGTGTTAAACCAAATAACCTTCTTAAGCCAGAAATTTTTGAGAACATTAATATTCTACAGCAACTTAGGTGTGGGGTAAGCTTTTGGTGTTTCAGAGAACCATAGCTTTCAGTTTTGCAACTGATTAGTTATTCTGCTTTCTTATCTCAGGGAGTTATGGAAGCCATTAGGATTAGTTGCGCAGGATATCCCACAAGGAAGCCTTTCAATGAATTCTTGACCCGATTCAAAATTTTAGCTCCGGAGACTACAACTAGAAGGTAGTTTTTTACCAACATTTTGAGGTTTCTCATATTATCTTTGGGTTCTGATTTTTTTTTTTTGTTATTAGCAATGACGAAGTTGACGCTTGCAAAAAGCTACTAGCAAAAGTGGACCTCAAAGGTTTTCAGGTGCAGTTTTATAATCTCATCTCATTTTTTCTAGTTTGTTTATTGTATTTTGAAATTAGTATAAAACATGTCAAGGACTCCGGAACTCCCACATGTTTGTTACTTGGCCAACACTGCACAAGATTTATTTTAGCTTTCTTTTTCTGGTACATCTATAATTGGAGATATAATTATCAGTATTAACATTTTTCTTGCATCTTAGATCGGGAAAACAAAGGTGTTTCTTAGGGCAGGTCAAATGGCAGAACTGGATGCTCACCGAGCTGAAGTTCTTGGCCGTTCAGCACGGATTATACAGAGGAAAGTCCTTACGCATCAGTCTCGCAAAAAGTTTCTGTTGTTGCAGGCTGCTTCAACAGATATTCAGGCCTTGTGTAGAGGTAATACATGATACATGCGTTTTGTATGTATTAATATTTTGTTGGCTTCAAGGAAATGTCACCAGTCTGTCTTATTCCCTCGTCAAACTGAATACAGGACAAGTTGCACGTGTTTTGTTTGAGAAGATGCGAAGAGAAGTGGCTTGTCTGAGAATTCAGAAGCACGCACGGAGTTATATTTGCCATAAATCCTATAAGAGTCTGTGCTCTTCTGCTTGTTCAGTTCAGACAGGGATGAGAGCAAAAGCTGCTCGAGTCGAACTTCAGTTTAGGAAAAAGAGAAGAGCTGCAATCATTATTCAAGCAAGTTTAAGCTTACATAATGATTAACTTTCTTATTTTCTTATGCATCTACTTATTTGGGTATAAATGACATGCAACTTACTCTTTACACAGAGTCAAATGAGAAGATGTTTGTGTCATCGGCATTATGTGAGATTGAAGAAAGCAGCTATCACCACTCAATGTGGCTGGAGAGTGAGAGTTGCTCGACGAGAATTGCGTAATCTTAAAATGGTACTACTCGTTCACTAACATATGCAGTTCTTATTAGTCTCACTAAATCTGCTCTTTACAAAAGCTGACCTTCCATAATAATTACTCATATTTGTCAATGTTTTTGTATCTTTTATCGCTATCTTCGTTTAATGTCTCTAGTGTCATGGGATGTAATCGATTAGCTGAGATTTTTTTATGTTTCTTGATTACTTGAGGCTGCTAAAGAAGCGGGAGCACTTCAAGATGCTAAGAGTAAGCTGGAAAATCAACTGGGAGAACTCTCTTCAAACTTAGAGTTTGAGAAACAGATGAGGGTACACATAAAGTCATTATATGCTCAATCACTTTTTAGTTCTCCATGAGGCGCCTGATCAGTGTACTAGTGCAGATGGAGACTGAGGAAGCAAAAGCTCAAGAAATCGAAGCATTACAACTAAAGCTCAAGGAAACTCAAGAAACCAAAAGCGCAGAGATCTTAAAATTGCAGTCCGCTTTACAAGACATGCAACTTGAGATTGAAGAACTTTCAAAGGGACTTGAGATGAGTAACGATCTTTCTTCTGAAAATGAACAGCTTAAGGTTAGTCCGTAAAAAGTCTATGCTATAACCTTTTGTTCCTCGGAATTTAGTGTATGTGTTGAAGATAATGTTTTATGATTTTATATGTATTTTTTGTCTTATGCTCTTTCTTTATAAGGAGTTGGTGAGTTCTTTCCAAAACAAGAATGATGGAGACGTAAGTAAGCTTAGTGAAGAGCGGATAAAACAAGAAGTTCCTGTAATTGATCAGACCGCAATCATCAAACTTGAAGCTGAAAATCAGCAGCTGAAAGTAAGATTACACAATCTACATTCCTAAAATGATAATATATATTCTCATCAAGTATAACATTTCTTAGGAGTTGGTAAGTTCTTTGGAGGAAAAGATCGATGCATTAGACAGAAAACATGATGAAACAAGCTCAAATATCACAGAGCAGTTGAAGGAGAATGTTTCATCTGATTATGAGATCGTGAGCAATCTTTCAGCTGAGAACGAGCGGCTCAAGGTAGCCTTTCTACAGATAAAACCTCAACTAAGTGTGTTCATTTTATTAGTCCTCTTAATCTGATGGATGGAAACTATTTTTTAGGCACTAGTAGATTCATTAGAGAAGAAGATAGACGGGAACAATTCTTCAGAGGGACAAAAGGAAAGGAAAAGCATCTTGATAGAAGAGATCTTGACAGAGGATGGTTCAATTGATAAAGAGATGGTCAACGAACTTGTTGCTCAAAACAAAGACCTGAATGTAAGTGTTCCATATTATATAATTGTGTTGAGTTTTGTCTGCATCTCTAATTTGATTGGTAAGAAATCAACAGGAACTGGTAAGTTCATTGGAGAAGAAGTATGAGGAAGCAAGTAGACTTTGTGAGGAGAGGCTGAAGCAAGCTGTAGATGCGGAGACAAAGCTAATTGAAGCAAAGACATCAATGCTAAGGTTTTACTCTTTCTTCTACACTATGTCTACTTAGTACGTATGCATTACTTTATTATTCTTCTCTATAGGCTTCAGGAAAGGGTCTCCGACATGGAAACAGAAGACCATATTCGCCGGAAGCAGGCGCTGGCTAATTCGACTTCCCAGAGAATGTCACCACAAGTGTCATTTACAGGAGCCTCGGTAAACATTTTTTTTACTATTTCTCATACTTCCCGTTTAGACTTTTTTGAAGCAATATTTGACTCTTTTTTTTTTAACCTCCTGCAGGAGAATGGACATCATGTAAGTGATAAAACTATTGTGGAACTGGCTCAATCATCTTATTGCACATCATGAGTATTTATAGATAAACATATTTAGCGTTTCTTACAGGAATCACTTGCTCCTATACCGGCTAAAAAAACTGGGACAGAATCTACTCGTATTGAACAACAACCACATGTATGTGCTTAGCCAAAAAACATTAGTCCTAATACTACTTTGTGCTTGTGTTAGCTGGCTTAAATGTTTTGTCATGTTTTTCAATGATTCAGGAATTTGTTGACGTTCTTCTCAAGTGTGTATCCCAAAATGTCGGTTTCAGTCATGGGAAGCCTGTGGCAGCTATTACAATTTATAAATGTCTTATACATTGGAAAATATTCGAAGCAGACAAAACCAGTATCTTTGACCGAATTGTTCCTGTTTTTGGTTCTGCAATAGAGGTATAACCAGAGAAGTTTTGGATTTACTTGTTTGGTCAGAGACCAATGCTAGAAGTTAAAAAGCAATCATCCCTCTGCTTATTAATTTTCAGAATCAGGAAGACGACAATCATTTGGCTTATTGGCTAACAAACACAACAACTCTGTTATTCCTGCTTCAAAGAAGCCTGAAACATAGTCCAACTGGCTCAAGTCCCACAAAACCTCCTCAGCCAACTTCTTTCTTTGGAAAGATGACTCAGGTAAGGATAAAAAAAACTGTTGTCTTGATGGCCATGCAGCTTGATTCTTCAAGCTCTAAACTCCTATTATATATATATATATATATTTCCAATGTTTCATAGCACTTAAGAGCTAATGTATTTGTCGCAGGGTTTTCGTTCAACCTCTTCTCCTAGCCTTTCAACTGATGTGGTGCAACAAGTAGATGCTAGATATCCTGCTTTGCTTTTCAAACAGCAGCTTACGGCTTATGTGGAAACAATGTATGGAATCATCAGAGAAAATTTCAAGAGAGAAGTATCTTCCCTGCTTTCTTCCTGCATTCAGGTGTATATACCCTTTGGTGATCGACCAAAAAAACTTAACTTTTTGAGTTCCTCTTAGCATAGAAGAAATTATCACTTCATTAATTATTTCTCTTATAATAACTCAGGATCTCAAGAAACAATCACATGACTCATCTGTTGTGAAATCACCATCAAAGTTATCTGAACACAATTCACCCGCTAAGCCATCTGAAGATAATGATTCACCCTCTAAGAAAACTGGAGAGAACTCCCTGAAGAAGTCATCTGCAGATAATTCACCTGCTAAATCTAAGTCATCTGAAGAGAATGTCGCCGCAAAGTCATCAGTAGATGATAAATCACCTAAGTCAACTGAAGAGAAGTCCCTGAACAAGTCATCTGAAGAGAATCTCCCCTCTAAGTCAAGTTCACCAAAACAGTTATCTGAGGAGGATTCACCAGCTAAAGAGGGCCAACCAGAAATGTTGTCCGAAGAGAACTCTTGGCAAAGCATTATTGGGCTTTTGAATTACAACCTCGTCACATGGAAGAAAAATTATGTAACTATCTTTCTGTATTTAAGCTTCACATCACTGCTTAACTTCCTTACTAAAAACATTCTCTTTCAGGTTCCTCCATTTCTCGTTCAGAAGATCTTCAGCCAAACTTTCCAATACATCAACGTTCAACTCTTTAACAGGTAACTTTTTCTATCCCCCTCATCAACCTTAGCTGTGAAACAAATCATTTGTCATTCCGTCAACTGATTAAATCTGAACGATGCAGTCTTCTCCTCGAACAAGAATACTGCACATTCAACATGGGAAAGGAAGTGAAGGCAGGGTTAGATGAGTTAGACTCATGGTGTAGCAAAGCGACTGAAGAGGTTTACATTTATCTGAAAACAACTTTGAGTAACAAAACATCTTTTAGGGAATGATTTCACTTGTTACTCTTAAAAATGCAGTTCGTGGGATCTTCTTGGGATGAACTCAAGCCTACGAGACAAGCCGTAGTGCTCCTGGTTTGGACCCTTTCTCTTGACAGTGTTACAGTGTACCACTCTCACTCTTCTATCTCATTCCTGAATGTTGATGGGTTTCTTCTTTCAGGTTACTGAACTGAAGTCCACAATTACATACGACGATCTTACAACTAACCTTTGCCCGGTAAACTCCAATGCTTTTCTGATGTCACATTTCACATTTAAAGTATCAAATAACTTTTAGACAGCAGAAAAAACTTTTTTCTTATCTGTCTTTGTCTATCAGGTTCTTAGTACTCAGCAACTGTATAGGATATGTACCCTTTGCAATGACGAAGACCACAACGATCATAATTTATCGCCAGAGGTATATTGCTCTGAATATCTTCCCAGAGATCTGATAAACTAAACATGATAAGACACTCCTTTATGAACTTTTTTTTAAAAAAAATTGGTGTTCATACTGCATTTGATGCAGGTGATTTCAAACTTAAAACTTCTAATGACAAATGAAGATGAAGAGAGCCGTTCCTTTTTATTAGACGATGATTCCAGGTACTTGCTAAGTTCACTCACAAACCTCTCCAAGCATTGTCAAGGCATCATGATCATAATTAGTCTCATGAATATTTGACTTTTTGTGTGAAAACAACAGCATCCCTTTTGAAACTGATGAAATCGCCAACTGCATGCAAGAAAAGGACTTTGCGAATGTGAAATCAGTATCCGAGCTCGCTGATAACCCCAACTTCCATTTTCTCAATGATTGAGAAGTTGTTTCAGCATTCTTCCTAATGCCTCTAATTAATGGTGCTAAGCTACCGTTGCTTTACCTCGTTATAAACTGTATATTTTATAGGTTTCTGTTTCTAGTTTTCCCAAAGAGCGTTGTGGTGGATCACTATACTCTTTTCATTTCTGTTACTTGTAGATCAAGAAACCTCAGGCGGGAATTTGAACAAAAACAAATATTGTTTGATATATAAATTTATTATTACACTCAAGACGACCAACATGACTATAGAAAACTTTGGCTTAACCACTTGGTCTAGATTGTAAGAGTAATCATGTTTACCCATTGAGAGCGTACATATTTTTGCTTTTTAACTTGAGATTCCTCTTTAAGAAGGTGATAAAAGTAACAATCAGAGACCAATTACAAATAACCGGTTTAAGGGTAACCAAATTCCAAACCCAAATTGTTATTAGAAAAAGTTTAATTCAAATTTTCCTTTGTGATTACTGATTTGGTTCTACTTCACTGGAGCCTTTTAAAATATTAAAAAAGAACAGGTTAATCATAACCAAACTGAAAACCCAATTTAATAAACCGAAGAAACTAAACCAATCTCGCATTCTTATTGATAAAAACTGTTTCTGTCTCATTTTACCATTGAAACAATTACACAAACACACACACAGATTAAGTTCCAGCAAAACCAAGTGTCTGTTGAATCATTCTTCCTCTTATTACCCAATGTAAAAGATAAAACAAAGAACATTTATTAACCAACATTGAAGTATTCATTCATTCATCACCATCATCATCAAATGCATTTGTGAGTAACTTAGAAGATATCACCAGACATCAGGACGGAGTTCCCCAGTGGCTGGTGGCATCCAACGACCAGAATTGTAAACGTTCTCGCCAACTTTCCATCCCGGAACATCCTTCATTACATCTGCCTCGTAGTCCAGGTACTTTTTCCACTCGGACACAAACCTATTTAACACAAACATCGTTACTTAGTGTCTGAAAGTTGCAGAACAAAAAGTAATACATTATAAATAAAATGTTTTACCTTTCATCTTCTTCAGCTTGAAGAATGGGAAGTATAGCTCTACGAGCAGCATATTTCTCTTCCTTCAACGCCCTACACCATCAAATCAAACTTGCTAAGAACCTTATAACTTACTTGATAAACATATACCTAATACTTGTTAGCATCACGAGGATATTGAAACTCTAATGGGGGAGTTAAGGAAGTCCATGGAAACACAGTATGAAATCTAGTTATAAACTCACTAAAAACTAAAAAAAAACTTTCAACTTATTGAGAACAAATTAAACATGTTTTTCTTGTTTACTAAAAAAAACACTGCAAATAAATCTTGTTAAAGGATAAAAAGGTTGCGATAAAAGCCAGATGACACAAGCATATATAGCAAAATGCAACTAGGTTTTGATTTCATCATAGTAGCTTATGATTAAGGGGTTGTAGATTCCTATACATCTCCTAATACAAATTCTACATCCGTTATATCCTTATAATAAGGACAATCAAAATTCCATAGAACACTAACCGAAACAAAAAATAAAAAATAAAAATCAGCATTCCAATAACATTCAATCACTTAGCAAAAGCTTATTCCTTCCATAAGTTAACACCAATGCATGAAACCAATAACTTGAAACACTTAAAAAAATCAAATTCGAACGCTTCACTACTAAAACTAACTATAAAATATCATCAACATTCCATTCAAATTCACAACCAACACACATGAACAGTTTCCGCAATAAAATTTTGAAAAATACGGCGAAATGTCCACATGAATCTCCTTCAGTTACCTGCGGATTTTGTTACCCTGGCCGACCTGATACATCCCCCAAGCAAACGCACCAGAGACAGTAAGGAAAATAGCCATGGCGCTAGGACCCGTATTGGATATCCGGCGAGCATATCGGACCGGGGCGAATCCACCCGGTGGCGGACCATCTTGAAGCAAAGGCATATCCTTCACACTCGCCATCCCTGCCTTCTTCCTTATCATCGCCTCCGTCATCTTTGCTCGAGATCGAATTTGACTCTCTGATTGATCACTGGAGATCCGATTCGAGTATTCTAGGGGTTCATAAGACAAGACGTAGCTGTTTGTTTTCGTTCAATGAATGAATTGGGCTTTTTCAAGGCCCAATTTGTTTTTTCTTTGGCCCAATATTATTTTATTCCATAAACTCGGCCTTTACTCGGCAGAGTGTATTCCAAGGGTAGATCTAGGGTTCTTCTTTAGGTTTAATCATGTTTTGATTGAATGCACCTTACTTACACTCCATGCAATTCGATTAGTTTGATTTTATTAAAACAAACTTGTATAAATCTAAAAAGGCGAGAGTCATCATAATAATATATAAGAAACATTAACACTGCAAACCAGATAGAGAGTAGAGCAAATAGGAAACAAACCATAATGCAGAAGGTATACCTAAAATGAGAGAATAAACCGGAGAGATGGAATAGATAAAGATGATGAGTAAAACAATGGCGATGACATGATTAGGACCCATGATGCCGCCTTCGAAACCTTCGGGTATGTTTTGGTGGAAGATGTAGACCCATAAACCTACGCCAGAAATAAATGTTGCGCAGTAGTGACACAAGAGCACCTCGATTATGTGCCAGTTGTGTGGAACAGCTATGTGAATCTTGGCGTGTCTTATATACAAAAATATTGCAATGTTTAAGGCTATCAAGAGTGCGCTCATGACAATGTCATAAATCAAGAATTTGTTTAGCCTGCATCAACCCACCAAAAGAACGTATTAATTATTTGTATATAAAAGAAGAGAGAAACCTAACTTGTTAATACAATCGACTGTTATGTAGATATAGTGATCACTTCTGTTGACTAGATAAAAGTATTCAATTTCTGTGTGACAACGGGTAAGAATCGTTTATGGGACTCACCACCATGGACGTCGCTTTTTGGTAATATTAGTCTGATTTTCATCGACTATAGCAGCAGGATCCATGGTTTCACTTTTTCGTAATATTAGTCGAAGTTAATAAGGTCTGTTTTACCTTATACAATTATATAAGGACCTGATTATGTCAAATCTCAAAATGAATATTCTTTTTCTCAACCGTTCTTATCACCTCTCATTATATATTTTTATACGCTAAAAGGCTTTTTCCATCTATAATATTTTATTCTTGTAAATATTGAAATACTTTAAAGTAAATAAAATAGTAAATTCAAATATCATAAAATATCTCAGATTTTAAACTAAGGAAAAAGAAACACAATGAAACGAAAGAAACTAAATTAACGGAGTCTTTGACTATTTGGGAAGCTGATCATTATAAAAATGACTTTTATTTGATCATCGAGGTATTGCCTTGTTTGTTAGTTGCTTGATCCTATTTCACTTGTGCTGTTTGGTCTAAGTTGGAGAACAATCTTTTTTATTTTTATTTTTAAAAAGGTGAAACAAGTGGTATGAGCAATTGTTGGTCTGAAAGGATTTGGCGAAGGAACCAGTTCGTGTGACAACGGGTAAGAATTATCTAAGGGTTTGATTATGTCAAATCTTAAAATGAATATTCTTTTTCTCAACAGTTCTTATCACCTCTGATTATATATTTTTATATGTAGAAAGGCTTTTTCCATCTTTAATATTTTTCTTGTAAATATTGATATACCTTAAAGTAAATAAAATAGTAAATTAAAATATCTCAGATTGTTAACTTCATAAGAGAACATTTTAAACAAATACAAGGAAAAAGAAACGCAATGAAACTAGATTAACAAAGTCTTTGAGAAGTTGATCATCAGAAAAAGACTTTTATTAGAAATTTTATTGGTTTTTTTTTTGGTAAAAACATCCCTTATATATTTATCATCACAATCATACATTATGAAATCATTTCCATGGGAAACATTTAACCTTTTTACCCAGTTTGCATGGGCCAGCAGGTTTAATAGTCCAGTTAAGTTTATAACCGTCATCTTGGTCTCTCGGAGCATCAAATATATTAAACTGCTTGACCAGATTGTTCCATTGGAAGCTGCAGAAGAACAGTGTTGATTTCCATATATTTGGCTGAAACGTAAAGAAGTAATCTGTGTTGGCAGCCACCATGTGAACCCCCAAATCGTTCTCTTTGGATTTGCAGTGAACCGTAAGTGGAGCTCCAAGATTATTTGTCATTGTGACGGTGGTTGCGGGCCAAAACGGTGGTAGCTCATGACTCGGACCAAACAAAAGAACCATGATCAGAGAAGCTACATAAAGTTTTGGTAAATTTCTCATTGATGCAGGATTTCTCGATAAAGATTGCTATACTGGTTTTGAACTTAAGTAATTTGGGATGGCTGAACATGTTCAGTCCATATTTATAGCGCTGTTTCGTAGTAATTAAGCAAACGTTTTCTCAAGAGTAAAATTTTAATTATTAATGAATTTTGACCCAAAAAAAATCACGAAATGAACAAGCGATCAGTCAAAGAGTAATAAATTATTTATTAACACCAATTGAACAAGTGAATCAGTGAATGTGGAATTAGGTCCGTCTTGTAACGTATGTTTGTGAAACTTGTCAGTTGTCACCCTAGGAGACATGCACAAAACAAAGGGTTGACTACATAATAACTAAATATATTCATTAAAAAGGTAATAAAGTGAACAAAACAAGTATTGATGTAAAAGTCTCATTAATGGTTGGATTAAGAATTTATAAATGTTCTTATAAGAAGGCCAACTCCTACAAAACACCAAAACAATAAAATTAGTGTAATTTTATTTTTTTATGGAACAATAAAAATGAATGTGATATAATACTATTAATCACACCAAATATTAAAATAATATATTTTATTACTTTTCATTTAACTATATGTAAACTAATATAATTTTCCTTTTTATTTTGACATTACTAAACATTAAAATATTATTTTATATTTTCAGTTTGTAAATGAGTATTATTTTGAAATTGTAACAAAATAAAAGTTCTTTTCATAAATTTAATTTAAACTAAATTTTACATAAACAAAAAATAGTATATAAATTAAGTAAAAGACAAAACTATTATTTTATATAAACTGTGGAAACATAAACTTACCAAATTTTAACAAAAGAAAATAAAATTAAATGAGATAAATAAGATTATTCAACTATAAATAATTAATGTATTGATTTATTAAACTAAAAAGTTAATATATAACATAGTTTTGGTCTATAATTTGGTGTAATAGTTGGATATGAAAAATAAAATTCAACACCAAAACACCAAAATTTAGTGTTGACTTATGATTAGAGTTGCCTTAAGAAATTTGAGTTCAAATTCTAGTACACGTGATTTATTATAATTTAATAGGAAAAATTACGATGATGCAAATAGGACTATTATTAGTCATAAACTTTTATAAAACAGTTAAACGTTATGTACTTAGAATCTAAAAACTGAATTATCGGTTGAAAACATAATAATTTGTCATACTAAGAGCACCATTAACCCAACAACCCAAAATATTGCTTAAATTTTTTTTTTTCTGATTACAAAAGAAAAAAAATTAAAAAAAACTGACCAATCGCGGGCCGCCACGTGTCAGTGGAACCCGCGATTTTCTAAGCAACACACCAAACCCATGGCTTATTCAAGAGCTATTGGCTGCGTTGTTTGTGTTTCTGCTGGACCCCACTAATTATTATATATTTTTTTCTTAAGCCACCTCCCCTTTAAGCCACAGGGTTAAAGGTGCTCTAACAGCCCATTTGCTAATATTTGATTTGTTTTTTAATTTGTTTATGCACACGATGAAATGCTTCACAGACTCTTTGATGCCAATGTATGAATGAATATACTATTCATGTTGCTGTCTTTAGTGTTTGTATTCGTAACTCTACCATTTTTTGTTTCGGTCATGGCGTTTAGATCCCATCAGCGATATTAGTAAGTTTGTGTTGACAAAAGAAATTAGAGCAATGTTTGTTTGTGTTGGGTTTCCGTTCTAGTAATCATCTTCTTAGTTAACCTTAACTATTTAGAGCTGACTCAAGCCATCATTTCCTTACGCAGCATCGCATCGGCATTGGTGCTAGGAACTATGTGGAGACGTTGGAGTGGTCTATGATCGAATTTGCTTCTCTTTATGGCGTGCATGACACAAAAGGTGAGACTGGGGTATGAGTAGGGGAATAGGGATAGAAAGATTGGTGTTATTTGGGGTTCGTATATCCTCTGGAATCACTAGCCATGATTTTTGGCCTTCCACATAAATCCTGACTTGAAGTACTTTGAGCACATTGCTGATATACAAGTTACATCTCTGAGAAGAGAGACAAATACTATGCTTCCTTTTGAAGAAGTGATTCATGAGCAGTTGGTTTCTTGTTTGGCCAAAGCGTTTTCATATGATGATGCTGTGGAAGGAAGATCTTCGTTCATTTTGGATAATAGTTCTTCTTTAGGTTTAATCATGTTTTGATTGAATGCATCTTACTTACACTCCATGCAATTCGATTAGTTTGATTTTATTAAAACAAACTTGTATAAATCTAAAAACATCCCTTATATATTTATCATCACAATCATACATTATGAAATCATTTCCATAGGAAACAGTTAACCTTTTTACCAAGCTTGCATGGGCCATAAAGTCTAATAGTCCAGTTTTGTTTATAACCGTCATCTTGATCTCTCATGGCATCAAATATATCAAACTGCTTGACTTGATTGTTCCATTGGAAGCTGCAGAAGAACAGTGTTGATTTCCATATATTTGGCTGAAACGTAAAGAAGTAATCTGTGTTGGCAGCCACCATGTGAACCCCCAAATCGTTCTCTTTGGATTTGCAGTGAACCGTAAGAAGTGGACCTCCAAGTTTATTTGTCATTGTGACGGTGGTTGCGGGCCAAAACGGTGGTAGTTCATGACTCGGGCCAAACAAAAGAACCATGATCAGAGAAGCTACATAAAGTTTTGGTGAATTTCTCATTGACGCAGGATTTCTCAATAAAGATTGCTATACTGGAGTTGAACTTGAAGTAATTTGGGATGGCTGAACATGTTCAGTCCATATATATAGCGCTTTCCTAGTAATTAAGCAAACGTTTTCTCAAGAGTAAAATTTTTATTATTAATGAATTTTGACCAAAAAAAACATCACGAAATGAACAAGCGATCAGTCAAAGAGTAATAAATTATTTATTAACACCAATTGAACAAGCGAATCAGTCAATGTGGAAATAGGTCCGTCTTGTAACGTATGTTTGTGAAACTTGTCAGTTGTCAGTTGTCACCCAAAGAGACATGCACAAAACAAAGGGATAAAAATACCTAAACGCACAACTGACAAGTACATATGTTTAATAAATTTTCATGAAATATGTGGGATAACCCCTATGAAAAAGCTGGATTTTACGTTAAATCATATATACAATATTTAGCATTTTTCCTGTTGTTTAAAAATACCTAAACGCACTCCAAATTTTTATATATGTTTTATAAACTTATATTTATGGTACATTGGAATCATTTCTAATTTTCCAATGATTAATTTACTTAACATTCATATACCACTTAATATGTGGATTAACGCCTATAAAAATCTTATTTTCTGGAGAAACGGAAACATTTAAGGTCTCGAACCTATTTAATTTTCATACTATGACGGTGTATGATGCATCTATGCATTAAAACAAAAATTTCATTTTTTATATTTTTTCTTGAAATATGTGGGCTAACCCCTATGAAAAAGTTGGATTTTCCGTTAAATACTATATATACTATTTACCATCTTTCGTGTTGTTTAAAAAAAACCTAAATGCATTCCAAATTTTAGATATGTTTTCTAAACATATATTTAGGGTACATGGGCATCATTTTTAGTTTTGCCAATGATTAATTTATTTAACATTCATATATATCTTAATATGTGGATTAGCCCCAATAAAAATACTATTTTCTGTAGAAACGAAAACATTTAAGGTCTCAAACCTATTTAATATTCATACAATGTCGGTGTATGACGCAGCTATGCATTAAAACAAAAATTCTATTCTTTATAAATTTTAATGAAATATGTGGGCTAACCCCTATGAAAAAGTTGGATTTTACGTTAAATCTTATATACACTATTAAGCATTTTTCGTGTTGTTTAAAAATACCTAAACGCACTCAAAATTTTTATTTATGTTTTCTAAACTTATCTTTATGATACATTGGAATCATTTCTATTTTTCCAATGATTAATTTACTTAACATTCATATACCACTTAATATGTGGATTAACGCCTATAAAAATCTTATTTTCTGGAGAAACGGAAACATCTAAGGTCTAGAACCTATTTAATTTTCATACTATGACGGTGTATGATGCATCTATGCATTAAAATAAAAATTTAATTAAAGCTGGATTTTCCGTTAAATACTATATATACTATTTACCATCTTTCTTGTTGTTTGAAAAAAAACTAAACGCACTCCAAATTTTATATATGTTTTCTAAACATATATTTGGTACATGGGCATCTTTTTAAATTTTCCAATGATTAATTTATTTAAAATTCATATACATCTTAATAAGTGGATTAGCCCCAATAAAAATCATATTTTCTGTAGAAACGGAAACATTTAAGGTCTCAAGCCTATTTAATATTCATACAATGTCGGTGTATGACGCATCTATGCATTAAAACAAAAATTCTATTTTTTATAAATTTTCATGAAATATGTGGGCTAACCCCTAAGAAAAAGCTCGATTTTACGTTAAATCTTATATACACTATTAAGCATTTTTCGTGTTGTTAAAAAATACCTAAACGCACTCCAAATTTTTATATATGTTTTCTAAACTTATCTTTATGGTACATTGGAATCATTTCTTATTTTCTAGTGATTAATTTACTTAACATTCATATACCACTTAATATGTGGATTAACCCCTATAAAAATCCTATTTTCTGGAGAAACGGAAATATTTAAGGTCTCGAACCTATTTAATTTTCATACTGTGACGGTGTATGATGCATCTATAAATTAAAACAAAAATTTAATTTTTTATAATTTTTCTTGAAATATGTGAGTTAACCCCTATGAAAAAGCTGGATTTTTCGTTAAATACTATATATACTATTTACCATCTTTCGTGTTGTTTGAAAAAAACCTAAACGCAATCCAAATTTTATATATGTTTTCAAAACATATAATTATAGTACATGGGCATCATTTTTAGTTTTCCAATGATTAATTTATTTAACATTCTTATATATCTCAATATGTGGATTAGCCCCAATAAAAATCCAATTTTCTGTAGAAAAGGAAACATTTAAGGTCTCAAACCTATTTAATATTCATACAATGTCGGTGTATGACGCAGCTATGCATTAAAACAAAAATTCTATTCTTTATAAATTTTCATGAAATATGTAGGCTAACCGCTATGAAAAAGTTGGATTTTACGTTAAATCCTATATACACTATTAAGCATTTTTCGTGTTGTTTAAAAATACCTAAACGCACTCCAAATTTTTATTTATGTTTTCTAAACTTATCTTTATGGTACATTGGAATCATTTCTAATTTTCCAATGATTAATTTACTTAACATTCATATACCACTTAATATGTGGATTAACGCCTATAAAAATCTTATTTTCTGGAGAAACGGAAACATTTAAGGTCTCGAACCTATTTAATTTTCATACTATGACGGTGTATGATGCATCTATGCATTAAAACAAAAAATTAATTTTTTTATAATTTTTCTTGAAATATGTGGCCTAACCCCTATGAAAAAGCTGGATTTTCCGTTAAATACTATATATACTATTTACCATTTTTCTTGTTGTTTGAAAAAAAACTGAACGCACTCCAAATTTTATATATGTTTTCTAAACATATATTTATGGTACATGGGCATCATTTTTAATTTTCCAATGATTAATTTATTTAACATTCATATATATCTTAATATGTGGATTAGCCTCAATAAAAATCATATTTTCTGTAGAAACGGAAACATTTACGGTCTCAAGCCTATTTAATATTCATACAATGTCGGTGTATGACGCATCTATGCATTAAAACAAAAATTCTATTTTTTATAATTTTTCTTGAAATATGTGGGCTAATAACCCCTATGAAAAAGCTAGATTTTCCGTTAAATACTATATATACTATTTTCCATCTTTCTTGTTGTTTGAAAAAAACCTAAACGCACTCCAAATTTTATATATGTTTTCTAAACATATATTTATGGTACATGGGCATCATTTTTAATTTTCCAATGATTAATTTATTTAACATTCATATATATCTTAATAGGTGGATTATCCCCAATAAAAATCCTATTTTCTGTAAAAACGGAAAAATTTAAGGTCTCAAGCCTATTTAATATTCATACAATGTCGGTGTATGACGCATCTATGCATTAAAACAAAAATTCTATTTTTTATAAATTTTCATGAAATATGTGGGCTATGAAAAAGCTGGATTTTACGTTAAATCTTTTATACATTATTAAGCATTTTTCGTGTTGTTTAAAAATACCTAAACACACTTTTTATATATGTTTTCTAAGCTTATNTTTTCTAAGCTTATCTTTATGGTACATTGGAATCATTTCTTATTTTCCAGTGATTAATTTACTTAACATTCATATACCACTTAATATGTGGATTAACCCCTATAAAAATCCTATTTTCTGGAGAAACAGAAATATTTAAGGTCTCGAACCTATTTAATTTTCATACTGTGATGGTGTATGATGCATCTATACATTAAAATAAAAATTTAATTTTTTATAATTTCTCTTGAAATATGTGGGTTAACCCCTATGAAAAAGCTGGATTTTCCGTTAAATACTATATTTACTATTTACCATCTTTCATGTTGTTTGAAAAAAACCTAAACACACTCCAAATTTTATATATGTTTTCTAAACATATATTTATATTACATGGACATCATTTTTAGTTTTCCAATGATTAATTTATTTAACATTCATATATCTTAATATGTGGTATAACTCCAATAAAAATCATATTTTCTTTAGAAACGGAAATGTTTAAGGTCTCAAACCTATTTAATATTCATACAATGTCGGTGTATGACACATCTATGCATTAAAACAAAAAAGTTTTTTTTATAAATTTTCATAAAATATGTGGTCTAACCCCTAAGGAAAGCTGGATTTTATGTTAAATCCTGTATACACTATTTAGCATTTTTATGTTGTTTAAAAATACCTACACGCACTCCAAATTTTATATATGTTTTCTAAGCTTATCTTTATGGTACATTGGAATCATTTCTTATTTTCCAGTGATTAATTTACTTAACATTCATATACCACTTAATATGTGGATTAACCCCTATAAAAATCCTATTTTCTGGAGAAACGGAAATATTTAAGGTCTCGAAACTATTTAATTTTCATACTGTGACGGTGTATGATGCATCTATACATTAAAACAAAAATTTAATTTTTTATAATTTTTCTAGAAATATGTGGGCTAACCCCTATGAAAAACCTGGATATTTCGTTAAATACTATATATACTATTTATCATATTTCGTGTTGTTTGAAAAAAAACTAAACGCACTCCAAATTTTATATATGTTTTCTAAACATATATTTATGGTACATGGGAATCATTTTTAATTTTACAATGATTTAATTTATTTTACATTCATATATATCTTAATATGTGGATTAACCCCAATAAAAATCATATTTTCTGTAGAAACTGGAACATTTAAGGTCTCAAACCTATTTAATATTTATACAATGTCAGTGTATGACGCATCTATGCATTAAAACAAAAATTCTATTTTTTATAAATTTTCATGAAATATATGGGATCCCCTATGAAAACGCTGGATTTTACGTTAAATCCTATATACACTAAATAGCATTTTTCCTGTTGTTTAAAAATACCTAAACGCACTCCAAATTTTTATATATGTTTTCTAAACTTATCTTTATGGTACATTG